TTCAAACTTTTAACAAATAAAATGTATAAAGTTTTAAAGCTTCTAATTTGTTATTGTCTGTAACACCCCTGTTTTTAATTCCTTGATTTACTAAGATTAATAAAAATAATTAAGTAAGTTGATATAATATGTGGTCAAAGGAGAATAATAAGTGTTTTTAGTTGAAGTTTCAGGTATAATTTAGGTCCAAAGTGAAATTGGGTCACTTGAGGACTAAAAAGTGGAGAAAAACAAGCTAAACAACCTCTGTGCCACACGCCGCAACATGTGCGCGGTGCGTCGTGGTCCACGGGGCCATCAGGCAAGAACTTCCTTCTCTGTACCACATGCCGTGACACATAGTGTGAATTCTGTAGAAATAATACGCAATCTGATGCGAAAAACAGAAAGGAAGAAAAGGAAAATAAAGGAGATGAACATTTTCTCTACTAGGGCACGATCTAGGGGAGGATTTGAGAATGTTTGAAGCTCAAAATCATTCAAGGTAAGATCTTTAAACTATTTTTCTCCTTTTCTCTTCATTGTTTTCAAGGACTTGAGTTAGGATTTGAATGAGGATAATAATTTTGGTCTTATAGGGTATAGGTCCGAACTTATTGACTCAAATAAAGTTAATAGGAGTTGTTTAGAATATTTAAATATGGTATAAATGATTTTAGTAGTTGTTGGATGATGGGCTCCATTAATGTTCGAAAATGGACATTAAATTTATTATTATTGTGGTTGTTGAGGTATTAATGGCAATGTGGCTATTCACTGAAGTTATATGATGTTATAGATAGATAATGAACCCAATGGATAGGTCCAAATTCATGTAAAGTGAATATTGGGCAATTTAGAATTGGAGATTGAGGATTTAATGCTTAAGTTGGTACTATTGATGAAATTCAACTTGGTTAATTGTAGTTTTGGCTCTTAGTCACTCATTTGGCTTGGAAATTCAAGCTTGAAAGCTATAACATTAAGGAGTAAACTTTTGATCTCTCAAAAGTTTAAGATAACTTGGAAAACCCTATCTTGGGTAATTATATGTTAATTGATTGTAAATTGATTTCTAATGATGAATATTGCATGCATGGGTTGATTTTCAATGTATTAGCCTCAATAATTGTATAAAAAATTAGATTGTGCATAATGTTATTTGAGGTTTGAAATGAAAATGCAAAATCAAAATGTTTTTGAACTATGAACATACATATGTCTTTAGGGAGATGCATATGAAGTCTATGTTGAGGTGAATATGTGTTAAAAAAGGAAATGGATTAGTGTGATAAGTGAGGAGAATGTGGTGAAATATTATTGGATACTCACTTGAGTAGCGCTTAATTGTGAACCCAATGTGATTATTATGATAATGAGTAAATGAAAATGAAAATGTGAAAATGATTGAGTATCACATAAGGCATGATCAATGGGTGGGAGTTCGCCTAGAGATTGAGAGTAGAGAAAATCTATATGATATTCAGGCTGCCCTCCGGTGCATGGGGATATAGCCTTATCCCACAGTTTGTTGAAGGACTATCTTATAGTTTGTCGAAGAACTAGAACTTAGCTATCTCCACCAGTTCAATAAGGAGAATAGCCTAGGGTATGAAATACCCCAGAGATTCAAAAATGGGGGAAGCCGTGATCCGAGAGTGAGTCATGTGATTTTTGGCCAGGTCACACCTCACGATTGATAAGCTTGAGTAGTCTAGTCACTGAGATGGAACCCTATTTAGTGTTATAGCCTACATTTTAAGTCTAAGAAAATAAGAAAGATATAAGGTTGGTTGATCATTACCTAAGTAAATATATGACGTGTCACATATGTTGAGTTATGGCAAGTTGTGTAAATGAGGGGACATGTCACATATATGAGAATATGGTGACAATGTACCTAGTATATGTGAGACAAGCATGTTATTAAAGAACAAGGATGAGTTGTGATATGTATGAGTAGGTTTTATCTCGGTTACTAAGTGGCTAGACTTACCCCTTTCATTTAACACTTTTCAGGCTCTAACTCTAGTGCAGAGAGGGAGAAGGCTCAAGAGGCTAAGAATTAATATATTCCTACTGTATGCCTCCGGTTTAGAATTATTTTGTATAATAGTATATAAATGCCAATTCTATAATGCATGTCATTACACTTGCACTATTTTGTTATTGCAAATGTTAATTTATATTTTGGACCTTAAGTATTTGTGTATGTTGAGATATATATGTTTATAAGGCCAAAATACTAATGCAAGTCTAGAAATGATGATTTGAACATGTTTATATTGAATTGAATGCAAAGTAATGATAATTTACCTCTCCTCTATTTTTGGTAAAATGGGGTTGAGGAGTGAATTTTTGTTATACTATTGTTTTAGTACTTGTGACATGTTGTATTGATAGTCTTAGGTTTAATGGAGATGGTCCAGGCATTAGGAAAAGCTTTTGGCACTTGTTGAGGGTTTGGACACCCATTTTTTGTGAAAGTTGTGAAAAGTGATTAAAATGTATTTGGGTATCCAACTTCCTAATGTAACGTGTTTTGGAAGCAAAACCCATGCCACTAGTTAGTTCATGCAAAGAGCTTTCTACAAATACTTAGATCACATCAATTAGATGACGGATGGGAGAATCGGGGTGTGTTAGAAGTTCCTTGATTCTGCTGTCACATGACGCAAAATTTGCTAATTTTTCGTGCAACATGCCACGTTGCATGGCGCCTAAGCCGCGGCGCATGGCACAAAAAGCAACACGCTGTAGCGCAACCTGCATAAGCTGTGGTGCATTGCCCTGTATCATACAATATGGTTTGTTTTTTAGCCGTTTTTGAATTCTTTCACTCCTCTGAGATATCTCATGCTTTCAAAACTTGTTTTTACTATGATATAAAGAATTTGATTATTTTAAACTCATTATTATTTAGAAAACTTAGGATCCCTTAAATTTGAACTAAAACTTAATAATCATCTTTTTGAATTAAGTCTTTGATTACCATGAGCTATAGTAGTTAATTGTGTTTAGTGGAATGAGATATTACATTATTCATGCCAGATTAACAAGTAACATCAGTAAAATAACAACTCAAGAATTAATAACACACAATTGTGTTATAATATGAAAGTGGTTAGAAGCTTGGTTTACTATTTATATATATATATATATTTTTATTTTTGCTATATATAATTTAAAGAGCTTGGTCCTTTATAGGTTGCCAAGAGATTATATGATCAAACCTTTCCTTGACTATCTAAATCAAATATTTGTTGAAATAAATGTTGCTGGTACTAGAGTTTTGGTGGCCAACTGCCAGCGACCTTGTTGGTGGCAGAGGCTTCAAAGACCTCGCTATTGGCAAAGATTTGGCCGTCGACACCGACAACAATAGGGAAGTGGGTTTTATTTTTTTACTTAATGAGTAATTTAATTTTTTAACCTCATAAATTAATATCAATCAAGAATTAAATGATTGTATTGTAATTTTAAAGTCAATTAATTCTTGATTAATATTAATTTATTATTAAAATCTTTATTTGCTATTTTTACTTTTGCTTTCCCTTTTACTTGATTGTAACCCTGTACAGTTTTTTTGGATGAAACTTTCTTTTCACGGGGACAGAAAAACAGAGAGAGAGAGAGAAAAGTATTGATCAACATCTCTAATTTTTATTAAAAAAAAAAAAAGATTCAAAGTACATTTTTTTCAATGTCATGTTTGAAATATAATTCCTTATCTTTCCGGTTAAGCATTCAAGAGTACAGTAAATAGATCCAAAAGTTTTAAAATAACAATTTATTATTTTTTAAATAATTTTAATATTTATAATTTTATTTATTAAAATGTAGGGACTATTATTTTAAATAATTAAAATTATAGTTAGTGAGTTATATTGAGTCAAAATATAAAGACTGAATTACATTCAAATAAAAATTATAAAAACTTAATTATAATGGGTGAAAGTTTATTAACTAAGATATAATTAAATCAAAATTATAATATCAAAACAAATGATTCTTTCTCAAAATTATTTAATTGATTGGAATCTTACATCTGGACGGACGGTCCAATTCGATGGCGGTAAATGCGCGACCGTGAGATCACGTTGACTGAGTTCGCTCGGGCATTGAATTTTCTTCGCCTCATATATATGTGTGTGTATATATATATATTAACAGTAAAATGTTGACATCATTTCTATTTTATTTTAATTATAATTATTTTTTTATTTTTAAAATTTATATAAACTTTTTTAATGAGTATTTACAAAACACAAATATTCTCTTTATTTTAATATTTTATTTTTACTTATTTAACCTATAATTAACCATTAAATTATATATATATATTCGACTAAAATACTAATATTTAAATATAATTGTTTAAAAATCATTTAAATTATTTAAAAAATTAATAAAAATACTTTTTTACTTTTTATATTTTAAATTTATTATATAAATATATTTATTTAAAATTTTTTAAAAAAATTACATACTGACTAAAATAATATTTTCATTTCAAAAAAAAATTAAAAGATATCTTAAAAAATATGAAATAAGAATTTAATATAATAAATTAATCAATATAATTTATGTTTTTTAAATTTCATTAATTTCAACACAAATTTTTAAATTATGTATTCTTATTGACAAATTATTTATTTATTTATTTTAAATTGAGAGAAAGGGTAAGCGATTAAATCATAAAGATAAATTAATAATTTAAAATTTTTAAAATAACTATAAATAAAAAATTAAATGTTTTAAAATTTTTAATAAAATATTTCTAATAATTTTAAGAATTGAACCAAACATAGGTTTTGAAAATACAAAGAAAGCGTCAATAATTCTGGAAAAAAGAAGAAGAAGAAAGCATCAATAACTTTACCAAAGGCGGGTGACTTTATTTTATTAATGCCGCGTTCAACTTCGTGTAATCAGTGTGAAAGCAAGAAAATTAAAGCCGCAACAAGAAGACAAAGACAGAAGAGAAATACAGATATATAAATATCTTAAATAAAGAAGATACAAAGCAGCCGAACCAGATCGAAATACCTTAAAGGAGATTTTCAAATACAGAAACCAGGAGACAAGGGGAGGAGAGAAAATGAATGCTTGGGGGATGTTGACGATCGCGGTGGCTGTGGCGGTGGCCGTTACCATCACCTCGGTGGAGGCCCAATCGGTGCCGTCTTGTGCGCAGAAGCTGATCCCATGCGTGGACTATATTAACTCTACCACCACCCCGCCCAGCTCCTGCTGTAATCCGATCAAAGAAACCGTCGAGACTCAGCTCGCTTGCCTCTGCAATCTCTACGCCACTCCCGGCTTGCTCGAAAGTTTCAACATTAACGTTACTCAGGCCGTCGCACTCAGCCGCCGTTGCGGCGTCACGAGCGATCTCTCCAACTGCAAGGGTAATTACTACATTTCATCGATTTCTTCGTCTTGTTCTTCAAGATTCTCTCGGATTTTATGGATTTCGACTGGTTTCTTCCTTCTGTATCGGTCTGATTAATTAATTCCTTCCCTCTTCCTTTTGAATTCGTCTTTCTGCTTTCAAACTTGGAAGATCGTCTTCGTTGAATTGTTTTGTGCGATCTGTTTCTCGTGAAGACCTGTTGGGTTCAACAAATTTGATATCATTTACTTTCATCTCTCTTTTAACCTTTATCAAATTTTATTGAGGGTAAATACATGTTCTATAAGAAGATTGAAGGGAGTATTATCTATTTGTGTGCGCTTTATCGTAGTAATTTTAATTACGTTGACTTAACATGTATTGATTTTGTGGTTATTTTTTGTATTTCCTGGATTTCAGGGAGTGCTCCATCTCCTTCATCAACGACATCGACAACCCCAGGTAAAAATCCAAGACTGTTTCTCCCCATTTTTTCCAACTTGCTCTTTACTTTTTGTTCCAATTGTTATAAGATTAAATTTTAAATTGTTGAAATTTTATATTTTACATTTTTTCTTAATTTTTATGGTAATTTTAATTTGATTAAATTATGATCATTTGTTTACCAAAAAAGATCAATTTTGACCATTACTACTCTGGTAAGTAAGGGAGATTAGATTAACTTTGATCCTATTCACTGTTATTTATGTTCATCTTTATCGTTTTTCTCTTATTAAATGAAAATTATGAAAAATATTTTTTATTCCTATTAGTAATAAAAATAAAAACTTATTAAATTTTAAAATAGAGTTAATAAAATTTAAAATTTTTTTTAGTAAAATATGATGGAATTAACTTATAAATAACCTGAAGGAGTAAATGTATTTAGTTTCATAATTTTACATTTTAATAATAATTACTCTCTCCATTAAAAAATGTAAGATATTTTTTAAAAATTGAAATATTAAAAAATGTAAGGTACTTTTAATTTTTTAAAATATAATCATTATTTTTTTTTAAAGTGTCCTTATTGATAAATCACTTTATATTTATTGTAGGGTATTTAATAGGAATAAATATAAAAAAATAGGATTAGTTGAAAAGTAGATAATTATTTTATTAAGGATGAGATTTAGTTAAAAATGCTTTATATTTTTGAACAAAGAGAATATGTAATATATTAAATTTAAATAGTGTATATTTAATATAATGATTGAGATAGGAAGACAAGAAGTGAAGAACTCTTTTAATAAAGGGTAAATGTATATTTTTATTTTTAAAATATTCTTCAAAGAGTGTCCAACACCCTAAAATAATTGTAAAACACTTTTGTTTTTAAAGCAATTGAAATGAAATATTTTTGCCTTTTTTGTTAAATTCTTCAATAGTTAATGTTGGAGTTTCAATTAATATTTTTAACAGTTAATATTGGGAATTTCATGAAAAGAACAAAAATATTTTATTTTAATTACTTCAAGAATAAAATTGTTTCAACAAATGGTTTGGAGTGTTAGGCATTTTTTGAAGAATATTTTGTAAGTAAAAATATACATTTATCTTTTGATAAATAAACTATTCAATTCTCGACAATTTATTAAATAAAGACAAAAATTGATGATAACTAACTAACTTATATTTTTGAATGAAAATGGAGGAAGTAAAGAGAAATGGGGAGAAGTGCGCTCCAAGAATCTCACCTACCAATGACTGCTTGTCTATTTATTTTGTGGCAAGAGCTTGTTCAACTTTGCCTTTTTTCCCCCCAAGAAATCAAACAATGGTATTTTGTTGAAAGTAAAGAAAAGAAAAGGAAAAAGCTTTCTGAAATTGTCCTTTCCTTTTTCTTCTTTTTTAACTTGGCCCTCAAAATTGTCCTCTCTTATTGCTGAATGATTTTCATTCACGCCATTCAGTTTTTGATGTTGTTTAGTAGATTTAAACCACTTTATTGAGCTCACTCATTCAAGATTCAATATAATCTAATGGTGTTGAAATAAAGACTTTTATTTATTTTTTTAAAAAAATAAATTTGTAACTCCCTTCTAAGATGATTAGATCATGATTTGATGGTTAATACCCTTTAGTTGAGGTGTAATTGTGGAAGTAATCCGTCCTCACCTTACTTAGGCGGCTACCTGTATAGAAAATGAGAAACCACCAACCTTCCATATTCAAACCTACCACTCCAAGCCAAGTTAATGTACAAAGGTTACAGGCGTCCTCACGCCAGAGCGACACCTCACCCACATAATCAAGAGCTTCGTTTTATACGTTCTGCTAATCTTACTAGTCGCCACACTGGAAATTCATTTTTTTTTTTTTTTGGTGTTTGGGGGCTCCTTGTTTACTATAACAAATGCTTCTTTTTGTACGACTTACATTAAGAGGACTTGCCAACAGCAAGCTGTCCTAGTAATAATACCAACTCTCTCGCTTGAAAGGGATTTGGAATTCAAACTTTGGTGTTAATATATTTGTGTATACACATTGATATGTGTCTCTTTCTTTTCTACGAAGAAGGGTTGGGTTATTGGTAAATTAAAAAAAAAAACATTAAGAGGACTTGCTTATAATAATCAAAATTATAGACGAACTGTAACAAATTGATTTGATTAAAATATTGGTTTAATAGTTTAACTGGACATGCTGGTCTGTATTTTTATATTATATTCCGAACATGACTGTAAATGTATCTACTTTCTACCAAACACGCTGGAAACGTAATATCAAGTTTCCACCACCTGACTGTCAATGTGAAAAGCATTTTGACTATAGTGGGGATGATAATTAAGTGCACATAGAAGCTGATATATCTACCAAATGTCATGAATATGGCCACACATTGCAAGAGCCATAAATGAGTTACTGTTTTGCTGATAAATAACATTTATTCCTCTTGCAGCAACTACTGGAAGTGATAATGGAGCTGGCAGAGTAGCATTCACTGGGCTCTCTTTCCTCCTGTTGTTCTGGGCTTCTCTTCTCTTTAACTAGGAAACATCCACCTATCTCTGTTGGAGCTTGACATTTCTACTAGTATTTCCATGTCTATTCTGTTACTATTACTTGCATTTAAATTTTTTTGTATTGGGTTTGATTATTAAAACATCTGATTCATTTGAGCAAAAACTCTATCTATTGGCACCTTCCACATGAAGTAGTTCACCGCCTGATCATTTCTTCCCCCTTTTATTGTATTTTTAAGTAGCGTTTATATTGATAGAGTTGAATTTAAATTTTAAATTTGAAATCTTCCATATAAAATTCATGTATTTAAAGTTATGCTTTTTGCATAATGTACAACATTTTTAAAATCAAAGAGATAAGTTGAGATTCAAATTAGAAACAAAAAATTGAAAATGAAAAGTTTATATTGCATACATAAACTGGCGAGTGATGAAAATACGAGAAGAAAGAAGTGGCGAGAATAATAGAAGCATGAGAAAATTGCAGCAGTTGAAATTTTATATAAAGAGAATCTAAAAAATAATTTAAAATTATTAATAAGGTATAATAAAACATAGATTTAGATTTAGATAATATATAGTAATAAACTTTTATATATTTGTATCATTATATATATAAAAGTATGGTTAAAAGCTATGAGAAAATGTCATGTGTTTATTTTTAAATTTGTTATAATTTTATATTTTCATATGTCTTTATTACAATTCTGTGCTTTGGAGTTAGATTTGGGGTTAGGTTCAAGTTAATTATTATTTTGTAATATATATATGTATATTTAAAATGTTATTCAGACTTGGAGTTAGGTGTGGGATGACTTACTAATCTATATATATAGATATATAAATTATTTTTTACCTATTTGAAATTCAAATCTCATCATATTTGAATTCAAATTAATATCTATCTATTTAAAGTTTTCATCCATTCTAAAGATATGTCAAATATCTATATTCATATAATCGAGTATATATATATATATATGTAAATATATTGGTATTCAAATTTAAACTAATATTTATCTATTTAAATGTTTAGAAAAAGGAATATGTGTTTGAATATTTAGACTATCCTCATGATTTTAGAGAATCATAAATATGATAAAGTATAGATATTAATCTATTTAATAATTTGGATCTCATGATATTAAATTTCACATATTATAAATTTCATAATATAGATATTAATTTATTTAACAATAAAGTATTTAGAACTATCGTTTGTTATTTATGAAGAATATTGAGATGTTAAATTTTAGATAATAATAATATGTTAAAAAGGCCCTCATAAAGTTTGTTAAAATTCAAATACACTCAAATATTTGTGAGTCAAATATCTATACTCACAAAAATAAATATTTAATATCTATTATCTTACTTAATTTTCTCTCCCAATTCATCCTTATTCAATTATAAATTACTAGATTAGGTCAATAGCACATTTCACACCTTCACATTCGTCTCACTTCTCAAATCACATTTGATTTATTTTTCTCTCGACTGTTATTCATACTATCAATGGCTTCTACATTTAAGATGCATGCAATCACATCATTAATATAACAAAAAAGGATTGACGCATTATGGTTAGGGTGATTCATGTTTAGAGATTGCTAGGTATAAATATATTTGAAGAATCTAACGGGTGTTGAATTTGTCTTTCAAGATGTTTGAGTAAGTGCTTATGTTTTTTGTATTTGTCTTTTATATCTTGGATCCCATCAATTACATCCAATATATAATACTTATCCTATATGTAGGACAACATTATTATAGGGTGGCCAAATCTTTGCAGTCATTTAGAAGCCTTTTTTGAGATGTTCTGGAGATATATTGCATATCTTCCAATACTCCTGATCATATTGGACAATAAATTATCCTTACAGGATTAGCTTCATGTTCTTTATGTGAAATTACATTTTGAGATGAATTCCATCCATATATCATTTTGAGTTTAATTTTGTTAACATTCTAGAACTTACGGACAAAGAGGCAACAAATGATAATTACTTAGTTTGTATATATTTAATTTTTTTAAATTTGTTCTTTGAAAACTCTATTTAGCATATTTAAGATAATATCCTATCTTAATTCTTCATTATCAATTCAAAAACTTTAATTGTGGACTGTCTAATATTATTTAATATATAAAGATAGTGTACATATATTAAATAATCTTATTTTATAATATATGGAATTTGTTTAAAATAATTAGAAAGTAAAGTAATGACAATTTTATTTAATATGTCAAGTTTTTGAAAATAATAAATTGTTTATTTAATATGTGTGACTCACTTATCGAATAAAATAAATAAATTTAAAAGAATTATTTATCCTTTTAAACTAATTTATTTGATAGACTTGGGGTGTGAAATTAGGTTTGGGATGACATACCATTTTTATTTATTTTTTATTTTATTTTAACTATATTTATCTATTTGAATTTTGAATTGAACAATTTAAAATAGATTAATTAAATTATTTTTTATTTTTGTACAATAATAAAATTGAATTTTAGTTATATTTTGACTGGTGCGGTTTGAAAAATAAAATAATAAAATATATAAATTTATTTATTTTAATCAATTTAAATGGATACGAAAATTATATAAATTTGCATTTTTTATAAAATACATAAATATATTATATAATTCTAATCAATTTAAATATAAATGTTAATTCTAATCAATTAAGATTTTTAAAAATTTAAATGTTTTATTTATATTATTTATATTTTTTGTATTAGATATTACAATATAGTATTATTAAACTTAATTATTTTTTAACCATGCTTTTCAAAAGTATTTTCAATTTAATTTGTTCTATTACATTTTTAAACAAGATTTTTTGTTTTAAAATTAAATTTTTTTAAAAAAATTATTTTATTAAGATATATTTTAAATAATTGAATTTATTTATTTTTATTATATATAAATGGTTTTTTTGTTTATAGATTTTTACTTTATGTATGCAATATTATATAAATTTTTTAAAGTCACCAATAACAGTTTTTGGATGTAATTCTATGATTCATATCAAAATAAAAATATTTTACTTAAATTTTGAATATATGTTAAATTACAATAATTAATTTCAAATCATATTAACTGTTTTAGTTATAAATACATTTCTATCAAAGTATTTTAATATTATATTTATATTTTAGATGATAGAAAGTTAGGACTTATATAGCTTATAGTTTGTATTATTTCAATTATACTTCAAAGTTTATTGTTATCTTTTAGATATTTAATTAAGGTGTTTTGTAATATATATATATATATATATATTAGTATAATTAAAATTTTTAATTTAAAAAATAAAAAAATTATATGAGCTTTGAACTTAGCCCTAAATCCTATTAATAAATGTCAGACTTGAAAAAAAGTTAGAAAAAGTTAATTTATGTGCTTGAGTTCTTAAAGACCAAGCTTATAAGAGTCGAACCAACTCATATTAATAGTTTTATGTGCATCTCTTGCATGATCTTGTGCTTAGGAAGCTAGACTGTGTTGTTAGTTTGTAAATAGGTTTGGACTAAATTTTTAAATATTTATAAATAAACTAGAAGGGTGGTCACAATATATATATATATATATATAACATATACATTTATATATCTAAATTTATTTTAAAATATGATTTTAAATATTTACATTGATGGATTAACATCTTATTTTATGTAATCAAATTTTATCTTATTTAATTTGAATATGTATTTACTTGAATTTTAAAGATGGATTCAATTTCAAATTTTAAAATTTAAAGTTAATCATAATAATTATTTATACTAAATATAATTCAAATTTTAAAAGTTATTTCAATTATTTAAATTGATCTCATGTATAAAATATTTTAGTGAGAGGTTATGAGAAAGTTATTAAATTAATTAAGTAATAATTATTTTAATATGTAGTTATTTGAATACCACATGTCATTTTGTGTATATTTCAAATTGTGATATGTGGTTCCTTTTCGAACACTCTAAATTAATGTATTCTTTTTTTAGATCTATATAAGTTCAAAAAAAATTATGGTTGATGTGGGATTTTTGAGAGGAGAAATATGATTTTCCATTGATCATAATAGTAGGATACAGAAGATTATATATACACAAAGCTAGGAGACAAGCAAATAAATGGCTAATAAATACTAATAACTATAATAAATCCTATTAACTCCTAATAATTAGATAATAATGTTTAATTTATAATAAATATAATATCTCCACACTCCCCCTAAGTTGGATCATAGATGTTAATCATGTCCAACTTACTTATGCAACTTTCAAATACGGGCTTATGTAATCCCTTCGTCAAAACATCTACAGCTTGAAGGTTTGTAGGTAAATAAATCAAACATATGATTCCTTCTCTCACTTTTTCTCTAATGAAATGTCTATCCACCTCCACATGTTTTGATTTCTCATGTTGAATAGGATTTAAGGCCATGCTTATAGCTGCCTTATTGTCACAATAAAGTTTTAATGGTGAGTCCACTTCAACATGTATCTTTTCTAGGATTCATTTCAGCCATAACTCTTCCATTATTCCTTAAGCCAAAGCTCTTAACTCGGACTCAGCACTACTCTTAGAAACTACCCTTTACTTTTGACTCTACCAGGTAACCAAGTTCCCCCAAACAAAGGAATAATAACCAAAAGTTGATCTTCTATCAGGATGAGTTCCTCCCCAATCTGCATCTATGTAGACCTCTATGGTTCTCTGTTCTTGTTTCTGGAAGAATATCCCTCTACCAGCAGTACCCTTTAAATATCTCAAGATCCTATAGACTGCTTCCATATGCTTCTTCTTCAGTTCAGACATGTATTGGCTAGCCATGCTTAAAGGCAATATCCGATCTTGTATGGGAGAGGTAAATCAACTTCCTGACAAGCCTCTGATATCTCTCTTTATTAGTGGCCTCTTCATTCTCATTGTCTTCTTCTTCAACCTCATCATAAGAATCATATTCTTCTTTTGACTCTTCCTTATTCTTCTTAGGCTTCTTTTTCTTCAGAACCATAATAGGGGTTTCCGTTGGCCTACAACCTAACATACCTATTTCCTTCAGAAGATCAAGTATATACTTCCTCTGAGATACATAAATACCTTTCCTTGACCTCGCAACTTCTATCCTAAGGAAGTATTTTAAGGTACCAAGGTCTTTCACCTCAAATTCTTTGCCTAGAACA